TCAAAAGTTTTTCGAACGATAGTATTACTTTGAGAAAGTTTCCCTAGATATTTTATTTTTTCTTACATCCCATTAATGATAGTCTCTTCTCCTATCAGAAATTTTCTTTCTATTTTATTTTATTTTTATTTTTATTTTTGAATTTGTACTAATTTTGATGTACGTTTAAGTGCAGAAAAGGTTTGAGTGTTCAAACTGTTTAAAAAATTTGATTAGAAATTTATCACAAACGTATATATTATTATTAATATTTTATTAATTGTTAATAAATAATTATTGTTGAATATTCCTAACATTGAATCAACGAGTCTACTTTGAGAGTCCCCATTATCAACGTGTTTTTAAAAGTATGAAAGAATTAAAGTAAAAAAAAAAATAAAAAGAAAGGAAAGAAGGGTGTAAGTTCACGTCGAAGGATGACTAATATGACTAATGGGGTGGAGGTGGGGGGTTCTCTTTCGAGTGGAAGACTTGAAAACGTTTCTCCTCTTATGTTCCCCCATTAAATTGAACCACGACGCCGGTTTCTTCGTGAGACTAAGTCACAAACGAGTGTTTCCTACACGCATCATCGATGGTGTGTGCTTTGTGTCCCCCTCTTGAAATAAAAATGAAAAGAGAACAAAAATTCTTCTCTCTTTTTCTTTTTGTTTATTAAAAAGAGAAAGAAAAAGAGTGTACTACACGATAACGAACTGGTTCTCTTTACTTACTTGTGCTTAGGATTGAGTATAAAACGAGTGAGGGTGCCTAACCATTACAGGAAGATTAGAAGAACTTCTTATGGAATCTTGAATACACGAGAGCTTTCATATTTCACTTGGAGAAAGTTCTTTTATATTTTTTTTTATTTTTTGATTTCTTATCTCGTTAGACCATGTTCCACTTTGTTAATACTTTATCATCATTATCGTCGTTGTAATAATTATTACTCATTGTAACCATATGTTAGATTTTATCAATTATCTTTTAATCGTATCTATAAATTATTAACGTTACTTTTTTTTATATACAATTAGATTATTAATATATATATATATATATATATTTGATCGGTTCAAATAATTTATATAAATTTGTTACTCATTTAGATTGTGATCATATATTTATCTTTTGCTATATACATTTAAAAAAAAATGAAATTACATAATTAAAATAAAATCAATTAAGAT